GGTTACTTGTGGTAATGACAATCATCTTACCAGCTTATTAGCTTGCTCCTTTCCTAGAACTTGAGGCAGAGACAAGATCAAATTGGGTCGCTCTCTAGCCACCTGATACTATGCATTTCGACACTATTAGGCTTTTTATTTAAGCATCTAATGTATTTTTCTGTTTTTTATAGGTTTTTTATTTAAGTATCTAATGTATTTTTCAGTTTTTTCTAGTTTTGGAACCATTTATGATTTTTTAGTGGGAAAGGTGCCATGTTTGGGCCCTCCCACACTTTGTATATGTATCTTTCTTTCTACTTAAAAAAAAAATACACATCTCTCGAGTCTTTTTGGGCTTTAAAAAAAAATAATATATATATATATCACAAAAAAGATATAGAAATATTGTCAAGAAAGCCTTACTCACACAATACAACACACACAAAACCCAAATAAAACAAAAATACATAAATGTAAAAAACAAAAAAGCCACAAAAGAGCGCAAAAATGCAAGAGACGTCCCACTTTAGTTCTCCCTCTGCCTCTAGTCCTCGGAAGTGAGCCGGCTAACAAAATGCTAAGGTGAGTACCATTGCCCGTAGTAACCAACGTATCATCCAACAGATTCCTGAGCTCAAGTAGGTCTCCATTCTTCTTCTTCCTTCTGGATGTGTAGATCTGCCATTCCTTATGCGATGATTGACTTATCTAATCATTAGATTCCAAAGTTGGCAGGACAGGTGTAGGCTGATGCACATCATGATCCCCATGAGCCTGAGTAACATTAACAACTTGCTCAACTTGATGAGACGGTAGTGAAACAGTAGAAGTATTGCCACCTGTATTATCAGTGATAGGTTCTAAGGTAGGTGAGATCTGAAGAATCACCCTCTCCTCCACGATAGGAGGTTCCAAAGACGGGGGAGCTACAACTGGGGACTGAATGGTTGTCATATTGGTTGCGATTGCGAGAATAGTGACGTCTTCCGGGGTATTCTTTTAATGATCAATAGTGTCAATAACTTGGAGCTGATCAGGAGAAGATGAAAGCGCTGCCTCTGGCGGAGCACTGTGCTTTTTTTGTCTGAATTGAGGGTGTAGATGGTGGCATTGAGAACTGGAGTGGCCGAACATACGACAGTTTGAACAATACGAAAGAAAAGACTCAATCACTACCTTCTGCGAATATCCATGATGCTGTGTGCCCAACCAAATTTTCTTAGAGGCGGGTGAAGTGATGTCACTTTCAACAAGTACTCTGACTTCAGATGAACGAGAAAGATTAAAAGTAGAAATGTACGTTTTGAGTGGTTTACAATAAGCTGAGACAATAAAGTACAATACTTTTTGAGTAAATAATGAAATTTCAGACCAGATAGGCGAATCCAAAATGGAATGATTGGAGTTTCATCTGTGGGTCAAAACCCACTGACAATTTCATAATTTTCATTGCTCTGTTATCAATTCAGATTATCCTCCTAACAAATAAGCGTGTGTATTCCTTTTCATTATTTATTTGTATAAGAACATCTTCCATCTAATAGTCTAGTTTTCCACTATCTAAAAAGGTGCATAAGCTCAAATTCCTAACGAATCAGTTCCATTTTGGGATGGCAATACAAAAAATTTTCGACCAAATTCAGCGACAGGAGAAAACAAGTTGAATACCTTGAGCTCCTGTAAAAAAATGGCAAGTTTCCCATTCTTAATACCAGGTTTCTTGATGTCCTCCAGACACTCAAACGAATGAGGGAAATAACACGATTTAGGTGTATCTGAGGCATGGATACCCGCATGTGCAGCAACATAAGATCTATCCGAAGCCATCCCCAATAAATGACGGTGCGGCGTAATAGAGCAGAGGGCAAGTTGGAAGGAGCGGAAACTCGAAATAGGGAGTGGCGAAGCTCTTATATATATATATATATATATATGCATTTTTTATTATGATGAAGTCACATTTTTATGGTAGTAATAGAGAAACACTATTGTACCCGTGCACATAAATGAAAAAATAATATTATTGAAGTATTTTAAATGCTATACAAATATTTAGACAGTACTTCTGTGATGGTTGTATATATATGAATTATACATACATGTTATTGATATAATGAAATATCTTAAATATTATGGAGAATCGTGAGTGATTATATTCATAAAGTAGCAAATATTTTATTAAGGGCTTAACTGACATACATACTCTTTTCTATTCTCCATTGTGTTATTGTAGTTTAGGAATATGAGTATTCACTAGTCATGGTTAGTTCCTTGTCATTTTAATCTAACATTTCAGGTATAATTATATGATTTAAAAGATGAGCAATTAAAGAAGTTTTTTTAGAAGGTGCAAACAATCAATAATGAGGTAATTTTAATTTAATTTTTTTAGTAGCTCTTTCGTTATTTAAATGTTAGTTATAAAAAATGATTATAAAGTTTTTTTATTTTTCACCGTTCGTCTGCACCTAGCTTGGTTATTTTCAAGTTTTGGGCTAGGTCGTGACAAAAGTGATATCAGAGCGAATATAATATTATAAGAAATTTTAATAATGATAAATTAAGTTAAATTAATAATTATATCCATTCAGACGAAGGAATGCACTCGAAATTATAGAACGAATTCCAATAAAAAATGATGAAGTACAATATACTATAATTGTGAATACGAATGTCTTGAATTTGATGATAAAGACGATGACTCACCTAATATAGGATTCCAGATCTCAACCTATTGGAATTGTGGATAAAAATATTCCAAGAGTTATGTCTGCTATTGTTTAAGGGAACTGAAGAATTGATTGAAACAAAGAATTGATTGATGCGAATTAAAAAGATATTAGATATTATAGCTCGTTTGAATTAAAGAAGTGTTGTTAACCACATTTATGTGAGGTGGAGAAGCTGAAAGGTGGTGGTGTGGGCAGCCTCAGGACAGACTAGGGGCATACCTAACATGATGGTAAGTTATTGGAGCTATTTAGAGAGTCGTTTATGCTCATATCCGCTCGAAGACAAATGTAGGACAAATTTATTGAAGGAGTTATTGGAGCTATTTAGAGAGTCGTTTATGCCCATATCCGCTCGAAGACAAATGTAGGACAAATTTATCTGATTGGTATAAGGAGAGAAGACAATCATACTGTATGAAGTAGAATTTAGTGCACTGCCAAGGTATGCACCATAGTTGATCGCTACTCCAGAAGAAAAATACTTCAGATTCATTTCAGGATTAAAGGATTTGTTTAGACCACCATTTGTGCCTTTGGGTATCGATGAATACTCAGTATTAGTGGAACGAGCTAGAAGAATGAAGATCGATTATCAATTTACTCAGAAGCGTAAGGAGGTGTACAAACATAAAACTATAGATGAAGAAGAACATATAGATCAATCAGAAGGATCCAATGGGAAGAAGTCCAAGTTCAATTTGGGTGGATTTAACAGAGGTACGACTCAAAGTATTGTAATCACTTGTGCCAAATATGGAAGAGATTATAAGAGTGAACACTTAATGGGCTTCTAACATATGCTACTAGTGTTGTCAGTCTGGTCGTAGAGCAAGATATTTCATCGCTTGGCCAGAAGAGCATTGAAGATAAAAATCAGGTGGAGCTCATTTACAGAAGACTGTAGGTTGGTAGAGAAGGGTAAAGTATATAATTTCAGCTTCTACCAAAGTTAATCCAAGGCATTCTGTTCGATCTCTGGTTTATTCTTTTACTCATAATGAGCCTGAAGAATCTACTTTTGCTGATGTTGATAGGGTTTGATGAGTTTGACATTTACTTACATATAATGGTGTTTTCCTCTCATATTTTCTTGCTTATGGAACTATGTGTTATTTTAGTTATATTATTATCGTGATTATTTTGATGAGGGGAGTATAGTTGAGACGCCTTGTATCAGGTCTTTACTTCACTTTTTATCTTAATGAATGACCTAAAGTTTTCTATTTTTACTCGTGTAATTTAGTGTTACTTATATAATTTCTATTTTTACCTTTGCATTCTAATTTAATATTATAATTAAATTATGAAATTCTTAGTTTTGTATTTATGGGTAACAGACTAGGAGTCCATTTCGGGCGGCGGTGTGGTGGCGGCGCGACATCGCACCGCAGTTTTGTCTGTTTGGGTAAATTTCGTTTGACAACTTGTTCAAAAAGCCTCCGTTGAAATCTACATTTTCCCACCGGTCATCGTTAGGTGCGGTGACAGCTTTCTAGATGCGGTCTGACTTTTTCAAGAAAAGGAAAAAAAGTAATAGCCACTGCAGTTTTTTGAACATCATATTATTTTTGAGCATGAAGCTGTTTTTTATTATGCTCCAGCTGTCCCAAACGGATCCTAGATGATCATAATTTAGTTTATAGTCTTTTAATTTCATTCATTAATTGTGATAAATATTCTAATAATATTAATCCCCTAGACTTTAGGTACCAATGCTATGACTTATGTTCTTTTCAGCTCCTCGTTTGTTGTAGCTCCTCTCCTCCGTGCTTGTGGGTTGAAGATTGAGCATGATATTGCATACATCTAGGCTTGATTGACTCTAAGCATGATGTTTCATATTTCTACTGCAACATAGTAAATTACTATGCGCATAATTCTCAAGCAGATGTTTTGCTCTTTTTTATTTTCTACATACCTTACATTGTATTTATTTAATTTTTTACTTTTGAGTTTTGGAAATGATCTTGAGTGCCTTACACTCGCATTTGTTTTTTTTTTGTGTACTGCATTATAATTCATGTATAGTGCTGTTTCATTATTTAGCTCCTCTATTTTAATTATTAATGAAGAGGCATGAACTGTTTGCTACCTATCAGTTGGCTTTTCCTAGTACCTAAGTTTGCATTCTATTGTAAATTTCAAATGTCTTTGTATTTACTTGCGAATTTTTTTTTAAGCTTTTGAATGACAGATGGACCACTTCAAATTCATCAATTCCTTGGGTGGATGTGGAGACGAGATTGTTTGCGCTTAATCTGGTGAGTACGTTTACTTGTGATGATCATGCATGTTTTTCTTGCATCTAAGGTGAATAGCACGGATAAAATGCTTGGGGCATATACATACATAGCACACAATTCTTATGTATTAATTATCTCTCACACCTAAACTTTCATAGATACATACATTAGTCTCTCTTCTTTCTACACCACGTGCATGGTTACTACAATAATTTTGCATGTGCCATTACTTATAAAGAAGACTTTAGATATGAAGAGATACAAGAGCACATTTTGGATTAGCTTAAAAGCTTTGTAGTAGATTTATTTGATTTGTTAAGGTACTCGAGGATTCACTCAAAATAAGAAGAAAAATAAAGCCTTATGAGGAGATGATATTGAGGCACTGCAACTATTAGAGAAGTAAGCTGTGGATTTAAGGGACCATATTCTTTTAACTAGGGTAAAGTGTGACGAATGAAGTCAAATGCCTAGAATTAAGTTCAATCCATTCTCTTTCTCCATTGCTATTGTTCCGCTCTATCCTTACTTGATTCAAGTGAGTATAGAGGCAGTATGATGGTAGGTTGTAATAATAGAAATGAATAAAATAAATAAATAATATTAAATAATAATGATAATAAAAAAAAATTGAAGGGGCATTAAGATAAGCACTCATTCGGTTACAACTTAAGAGTTGTATTATTTATTCTAACCAAAGAAATGAGAGGGAGAGCTGAGAGATTGAGAGAGAAATCTTTGTCATGCGCGTGGAAGCAAGTCTCGACTCTGTGTGTTGGTACTGTGCGAAAGAGAGGAAGGGAGAAGAAGAAGAAGAAAAAGAAGTGTGTGAATCTCTTACCTGGGTTGATGTCCTACCCTAGTTAAAGGGAAGCAACATTGTCGAGGGCTTGCGGTGTCGAGTGAGCCGTGATTGAATCCAGGAAGAGGAAGGAGAGGGAAGAGGCGATATGCAGCTCTATCAAGAAGAGGAGAGCTCGCCTGGTCGAGACGCGATGTGGAGGAAGGAGCCAAAGCCTCGCGAAATCTGTTGGGGTGAGACGAGCCCAAAGGTGAAAATGGAGGAGAACAAGCTCTGTGGTGCTTGCGTGCACTTCCTTGGGTCGAATCATGACCGAAGAAGGAAGGACGAGGGAGGTCGCACGGTTGAGCAGAGGCTGAAGGCAGGAAAAAGCCGAGGGGTAGGTCTTTGTGCGTGAGCTAGGGCATATGGCAGAATTATTTAAATGTAAAGGTAAATATTTAAGTTTATTTAACTTAATTAATATTATATTAAAAGGTGCGTGTGTTTGTTTGTTGCCTGATTTTTTCAAATCAAGAATAAAGTCTAGCATACTGAATTTCGAGGGAGGAGTAACATGAATTTCTTGTGCGAGGAAAAAAGAAAGATTTTTTGTGCAGCTAAAAGATTTTAAGGTACATTTGGTTTTCATTAATTTAATTAATGAATTTATTGTGTGTGTGTTATTTATGTAATGTTAATATTATGAACTAATGCAGGGATTTAAGAAAGTACGATTCAAAGATTAGGTCTTTGGATTGTGAATTTTAAGAAACAATTGGGAGATAAGTGGAGGTAATTGTTTATATTTTTATTTATATACCTATTTTCATAGCACGAGGTAGATATTAATTTTATGAGTGAAATTGAGGAGAATAATTGATTCAATGATATATATTTAAATTGAAGTGTTCTAAATTAAGTTATTCACTCTCAATTAATTTATTTAGTTGACCAAAGAAGTAAAGTGAAGGGTTAAGCTTTTTCAAAGGTTTCTTGAAAGAAACATGAGTAATTATTTTATTATATGTATTGGTTTAATGTTTTTTTAATTAATGCTTTAAATAGTCATTTTATAATTATATGTATTTTGTGAGCTTAAAAAATTGAAGGAAATTAAATGGGAAAAAGAAAAATGAATGTTCAATGTTTTTAAAAAGAGACAATTTAAATGAATTGAAATGTAGAGGTTTAAGTCGTACAAGATTCCTCTTAGATGGTATTGGTAGGGGATGCGATGTACCCGTGTACGTTAAAGGAAATGGTAAAGACGTATCTCCAGTTGCAAATTGTGGGTGCCTTCAGGTATTGTTTGAGGGTACCTCTGGGAACATTTTTGAGAATATCTTCGGGTATGACATCATTTCTGTTATGACTATTAAGGATGTTAAAATGGTATACTTAAGGTGATATGAGAATTTGTAAAATTAAAGTGAAATTCAAGGTTTTATAAAGTAATGAGTTTCATTTTATTGGGATCATTCATACATAACATAAACATCATAATTTAATGCATATAAAGATTATAATTATTTAGTAAGCCAAACTTACAGTTTGAGTTAATGTTTTCTTTTAGGAGAATGAAGACTTTAGGTTGAAATATATGGTAGGAGAGATTTTGCTTACAAGAGTAAGACTGCAACTGATAGGTATTAGTTTTGATGTGTGGTAGTTTCTTTTTACTGTTTCCTTCAGATTTTACATATTCTTCAATATTGGTTTGGGTGTGGTTTTCAGGTTATGTTGTTGTTTCTGGATGTTTAATTTTATTGCACTTTGTGGATTAGTGACTCTTTTATATATTGGAATTTTCTGAAAAATTTTGTGATAAGTAAAATGAAATGTTAATATCGTCCGATCGCAGTTCCCGCGTTTGTTAATTTTAATCATCGGGCCATGTTGTGACATAGGTGGCGACAAAAACTTGGTTTATTCAGAGGCTCTTATGAGGATATTGAAGCTATTAATTACAATTTGATTCTAGGATTATGGTACAATGGTCAATTTGTACTTCTGCTTGTGCATCCTTTTTATGTTTTGCGGCAATTTCATTCATTGCTTGCGTTGAATGGTTGTGCCAATACTAATTTCTTTTGAAATTTCCTTCTTTTTACAACTAATTTCTTTTGAAATTTCCTTCTTTTTATTTGTTTATTGGTATTCAGACCTTCTTTTTAACTTACATTGGTCTTACATTTGGAAAGTTATTTTGGCATTTACATACTTAGCACAATTCTTATGTATTTAAATATCTCATACTTTACACACACTACACTCAAATCTTTAATATCTGATCAAAAGTAGCACTATTATTACTTTTAAATTAGTGAAATACACTTTTTCATGCATATGTTTAAAACAGTAAATTGCTATATATATATATATATATATTTAAATATGAAGATAGATCTCCCCACTCTGCTAGAGTTTCGCCTCACGGCGAACCCTAACGTCTGCTTTCGCTTCGCTCGTCTTTGCTTAGCCTTCCTCGTTGGCCTCTCGCGTCGTCTGCCAATTTGGATTCGGCGATCTGCATCGTTTGTTAGGTCGCGTTTCCTTCGTCGTCGCCGCTCTGCTTAAGCTGTCGTCGCTTCTGCGCTCTGCCGTAATCATAGGGGCATCATTTGCTTCTGCGCTGTTTCGCAGGGGTGTCGTTCTTCTGCGTCGCTGCGACGTCTGCTGAATTTGCGGGTTTCCGCTTCTACTCTCTGGACTTTCTGGATTCTGACTTTGCTCTTCTTTGCTCTGTTCACTGTTCTTAACGCCACATCTCCATCTATTGGGGATGGCTTCGAACAGATCGTATGCTGTTGCTCTTGCCTGTGTCAACGCCACCTCAGGTACACCTAAATCGTGCTCTTTCCCCGTTCCCTCCTTTTGAGTGGGAGGGGGATATCAAGAAACCTAGAAGGAAGAATGAGAAACATGCCATCTTTTTTACAGAAGCTGAAGGTATTCAACTTGCCTCTTCTTTTTGACTGAATTTAGTTGGGAAATTTTTATATGGTCATCAAAAAATGGAGTTGATTCGTAAGGAATTTGAACTTATGCACCTGGTTGGGGAGTGGAAAATTGAACTGTTAGATGGAAGACACATTCTCATACAAATTAATAATGAAGAGGATTACACGCGTTTATTTGCTAGAAGGATGATCTAGATTTATAACAGAGCAATGAAAATTCTCAAATGGTCTGTAGATTTTGACTCTCAGACGGAACCTCCGATCATTCCGGTTTGGATTCGCCTCCCTGGTCTGAAATTTCATTATTTTACTCAAATTCCTCCCTGGTCTGAAATTTCATTATTTTACTCAAAAAGTTTTGTACTCTATTGCCTCAGCTTATGATAATCCACTCAAAACGAACATTCCTACTTTTAATCTTTCCCGTCCATCAGAAGTCAGAGTACTTGTTGAAAGAGACAACTTTATCTGCTGCTGAGAAAATTTGGTTGGACACACAACATCATGGGTATTGGCAAAAGGTATTGATTGAGCATTTTCCTTCGTATTGTTCAAACTGTCGTATGGTCGGCCATTCCAGTTCTCAATGCCATCTTCTACATCCACATCTCATACCAAAAAAGCACAGTTCTCCGCCAGAGACAATGATTTCATCTTCTCCTGATCAACTCCAAGTTATTGACAATATTAATCATGAAAAGAATGCCCTTGAAGACCTCACTATTCTCGCAGGCGATTTTACAACCATTTAGCTGCCTCAGGAACCTCCTACCTATCATGGGTGAGAAGGCGATTCTTCAGACCCCACTTGCCGTAGAAGCTGTCACCGTTATTATAGGTTGCAATACTTCTACTGTTTCACTACCGCCTCATAAGGTAGAGCAAGAACTCAGGATCATGGGGATCATGTTGTGCAACAGTTTACATCTGTCCACCCAACTTTGAAACAATCTATTGATCAAATGAGTCAATCATCAAATGAGGAATGACAAGTCTACACATCGAGGAGGAAGAAGAAGAATGGAGACCTACTTGAGCTCAGGAATCTGATGGATGATACTTTGGTTACTTCGGGCAATGACACTCACCTTACTAATTTGTTAACAGATTCAATTCCAAGAACTAGAGGCAAAGGGAGGAAAGTGGGACGTCCCTAGCACTTTTGCGCCCATTGGTGGCTTTTTGGTTTTTTATCTTTATGCATCTTTGTTTTATTTGGGTTTTGTATGTTTTGTTTTGTGTGAGGTGAGATTTTAAACTCTCTAATACAACCTTTCTGTATCTTTTCCGTTTTTAATAAATTAGCCCTTGGGTTTTTTTCAAAAATAAAAAAAAAAATATGAAGTTTAAGTGTTAGATATGCAAATACATGAGAATTGTGCGCTACATATGTAAGTTTTCCAAGTTATTTTATGTTGCGTTGGAGCTACCTTGTTTATTGTTGCCTATATGGAGTTATCTTTCAGGTCTCTGAAACAGTTATGCAAGATGGTCCTCCACCTTCTTTTTCAATAATTATGCAGCTAGTGACAATTCTCTGTAGTACCTCTCCTGGAGAACTCAAGGGTTTGTTGCCTTTTGTAAGTTTACTATTAGCCATCTAATGAAGTTCTTGCCTCTTTTGTTTAGACAGTTTGATCCACTTACTTTTACTAATTTGCAATTCAGAATATATGTGCAATAATGAATCTTCATTGTTCACTGGTTAATTCTTTAATGCAGGTCTATAAATCTTTGGCCGATGTTGTTGGCTCTTATTCGAGATGGATATCACTGGTCCCAGATAACATCAGGACTCTATTGTATGATTTTCTGATTGATTTGGATCTTATATTGATGATTTCTTTTTGGGACCTTTACATAGATACCACACGATTCTTATATATTTTATATATTTTACATTTCTATCACCTAAACCTTGATAATTACATGCAGACTACTCAAATTTTCAACGTCAAATGTAAACTACCATATTTATTAATTTTTTAAAAGTGAATGATATTGAAATTTAACAAACACCAATATTATTATTGAATTCAATGCCTGAAAACATAACAAACAACTGAGAAATCTGAAATTTCAACAAAGACAACAACAAACTACTAGAACTAAGGTTGTATCTAGGGCGTGGGTGGAGCTGGTTAGGGTTTGGACCTCCGGAATGGTGGCAAGGGGCGGCTAGCAAGTGAGAAACAGCTGTAGGAGGGCTGTTCTGGGTAGCGGCAGCAAGAAGAAAGGGGGTCCGCATGGTGACAGGAATTGGGAAAAGTGCTGAGTAAGCTGGAAACAGCTGTAGGAGGGCTGTTCTGGGTGGAGGCTGCAAGGAGGAATGGGCTCAATAATGTGGCCGCAAGCTGGAACAGCAGGAA